CCATAGTGACAGTATGGGCAGCACCACTCATCCTGTGAGTAGACACACCGCCATAGTGACAGTATTGGACAGCGCCACTCATCTTGTAAGTGGACACACCGCCATAGTGACAGTATTGGGCAGCGCCACTCATCCTGTGAGTGGACACACCGCCATAGTGACAGTATTGGGCATCGCCACTCATCTTGTGAGTGGACACACCGCCATAGTGACAGTATTGGGCATCGCCACTCATCCTGTGAGTGGACACACACCGCCATAGTGACAGTATTGGACAGCGCCACTCATCCTGTGAATGGACACACCGCCATAGTGACAGTATTGGGCAGCGCCACTCATCCTGTGAGTGGACACACCGCCAAAGTGGCAGTATTGGGCAGCGCCACTCATCCTGTGAGTGGATACACCGCAATAATGACAGTATTGGGCAGCGCCACTCATCCTGTGAGTGGACACACCGCTATAGTGACAGTATTGGGCAGCACCACTCATCCTGTGAGTGGACACACCGCTATAGTGACAGTATTGGGCAGCACCACTCATCCTGTGAGTGGACACACCGCCATAGTGACAGTATTGGGCAGCGCCACTCATCCTGTGAGTGGACACACCGCTATAGTGACAGTATTGGGCAGCACCACTCATCCTGTGAGTGGACACACCGCCATAGTGACAGTATTGGGCAGCGCCACTCATCCTGTGAGTGGACACACCGCTATAGTGACAGTATTGGGCAGCACCACTCATCCTGTGAGTAGACACATCGCCATAGCAGCATCGCCATAGCAACACTCCCCAATAGGAAGAAAACCCGCTAATTTGTTCATCCTGTCACTTGTTCACAGACACAGCTGGGACTTGCTTAACTATCTCAGCATGGTAAACATCTTGTACGTCCCTACATCCTGCTGCTATTTTTCCTCATTTCCTCTCACTTCCTCATTCCTTCTCCCTCATTTTTCTTTCTCCCACCCCTCCCTCTACCCTTGCTCTCTCCCCCTCCCCTCTCCCACTCACCCTTGACATAATTTGCCATATCATCTTCCCCTACATAGGAAATGTTATACTTTTCCCACGCTCTCTTGACCCATATGAGAGAAGGATGTGGATAGGATGAATGGTGACCGTGTTGATCATCGACGCCCCTTCTGGTGACCAGCATACAGGAGACACATGTGTAGAGGACACATTGATAAACAATTGATCTTGCGCCATAACAAGTCTCGCCAAATAAAACAAATGCGCATCTAACCTTCAAGTTAGGTTCAAAATCCCGACAGAGACAAACTGGAGGCGAAAGGCTCACTCTAACACACCAACAACGCTAATCCTTAAAGGACTGAGTATTCTTAGTCTGTCTCCTATCCTCTCACCAATCTTAGTCTGTCTCCTATCCTCTCACCAAAAGAGGGGCTCCACAAGTCACAATCAGCGGTTATCTGGGACGTCGGAAGATGCATTCTTCAACAAGGAGGTTTGGGTAGTATTACGGGGTAATTTGGCTATGTGAAAATACAAAACCAAGGCGTCTTATGAAGATGGAGTCATCAATAGTGTATTCAGCGGCACCGCTCCTGTGCCAGGTAAGTCCACTACGGGCTCACCATAGCCCGTGCTACTTGGAACTTGTTCCGGGTAGCTAAATCTATAGCAACAATATAATGTATTCACTCGCCTACGTGATGTTTCGGGGGAACTCCTTCGTGTCTTCACTAAGTCATCTTGAGCAGAGGAGTTTTGCCCATAGTGAAATGCGATGTAATTATACCGATAACGTAGCCTAAGAACGCTGACAACTGCCTGGCTGAACATTGCACAAGATGGCTCAAAATAATGCAAGATAGTTTGAACATAGAAGGAAATGGTTTTAACACAGCACAATGTGGCTGAACATAGCGCAAGATACATGCAGCTATCAACAGTGTTGGCACAAGAAATTCAAGATATCATTTGGAAGAAATTAAGTAGAAAATTAGATAGACCAAATATGTTAATTCCACTAATGTGTGTGAGCTGCAGGTTCAGACGTGGTAGCTATCTTATCTTGAGACAGCAATGTTTAACAACAACGCAAAATGAGTATATGACATAAATTGATAACAATGGCTCTTTGACCTTAGCTGAGCAAATGGTTATTCATTATTTGTGCTAATGTACAGGAAAATACTAGTGGAGAAATGTTCTATGCGCTCCCAGGAGTTATAGGAACTTGTGTTTTTTAAAATTAGAGGAAAATTAGAGATTAAAATTAGAGAAAAAAAAATTAAAATTATTAAAATAAAATTTTTTTAATTAAAATTAAAATACCCTGGTGTGTATGGTGGTGGTGGTGTGCCAGTGGCAATATGCCCCCCCCCCCCATATGAGGGTTTTTGATGGTAGTGGAGTGGTAGAGGTCCAAGAGTCCATCTTGTACTTCGTGGGTAGTGGTAGTGAGATGGGCCGTGGTGGTGGTAATGGTGGTAGCAAGAGGCCCCTTGGTGGAGATGATGGTGGTGGTAGTGGTGGTGGTAATGGTGGTAGCAAGAGGCCCCTTGGTGGAGATGATGGTGGTGGTAGTGGTGGTGGTGGTAATGGTGGTAGCAAGAGGCCCCTTGGTGAAGATGATGGTGGTGGTAGTGGTGGTGGTAATGGTGGTAGCAAGAGGCCCCTTGGTGGTAGCAGCATCAAGAAGCCGAACAGGTAACTAGAGGCAGCGTAGGGTCCCTGTAGCGCAGTAGGCAAGGTTAGCAGAACCGACGCGTCCTCCATCCTCTACAAATTACTACTGCTCCGCAAACCAGTTCATCCAATTAAACAAAGATCTCTATAAGGCAACGCTCTTTACATGCACTTCGCGCGTGAATAGAATAAACCGACCCGCTCTAAAAACGTGTGTCCTAACAATCACTTTAACACCGTGCCCCCTAACAATCACCTTAACACCGTGCCCCTAACAATCACCTTAACACCGTGCCCCTAACAATCACCTTAACACCGTGCCCCCCTAACAATCTCCCTTAACACCGTGCCCCCTAACAATCTCCCTTAACACCGCGCCCCTAACAATCTCCCTTAACACCGTGCCCCTAACAATCACCTTAACACCGTGCCCCTAACAATCACCTTAACACCGTGCCCCTAACAATCGCCCTTAACACCGTGCCCCTAACAATCACCTTAACACCGTGCCCCTAACAATCGCCCTTAACACCGTGCCCCTAACAATCGCCTTAACACCGTGCCCCTAACAATCTCCCTTAACACCGTGCCCCTAACAATCGCCTTAGCTCGTGCCCCTAACAATCTCCTTTAACACCGTGCCCCTAACAATCTCCTTTAACCCCGTGCCCCTAACAATCTCCTTTAACACCGTGCCCCTAACAATCACCTTAACACCGTGCCCCCTAACAATCTCCCTTAACACCGTGCCCCTAACAATCGCCTTAATACCGTGCCCCTAACACTCTCCCTTAACACCGTGCCCCTAACAATCTCCCTTAACACCGTGCCCCTAACACTCTCCCTTAACACCGTGCCTCTAAAACTGTGTTATTAACAAACCTCTCTTAACACAGTGCTACTCCGCGCACACACAACACGTTAAAGATCTGAAAGTCAATTACAGTAATTAATCCTTCTTGCCACTGGACTTAACATGGGCCAAAAAAAAAAAAATAAGAAAGGCTAATGACATGGGTTAAGAAGAACAAAGTGCATGCCAAGCTTGGGCTGGACCTTCCCCTATCAGTCACCTCTCAACCCCATACCCCCTCACACCCCCCCTCCCTCCACCCTCCATTGAGGGGACTTCACATACCAGTGGGGAGAGATTGGGGGTGGGGGAATTTTCTTCTCTGACGATCTGGAGTGTTATTCCCCCTCTAGGAATGTACCGTGTGTGGGGCCACAGAGCTTTATCTCTTCCGGTTTAGCCATAAAGGTAAACCTTACACATTGCTAAGGAGGGTTGAAGTGTCTCTCTCCGAGCGAACATAAATGCTCACGTGATGATGACCAAATAGTTGTAAACCAATCCTGGAACGCGATGACTATATTATAGTTTTCTTATGACAAAAAAAAAGAGATTAAACTACAAATTCATTTGAGTTTATCGACAGACACTGAAGCCTAAGCAGACCCAGTTATGCTTAAAGGTGCTAAATTATTTTACACATTTGAGAATATATCAACTACACGTTCTCACAAAATGCCTCCCTTTATCGTGATAAATAACACGTGAAAGTAACCACTGAAATCAAGATTATAACCTTAGTACCAAATTGATATCTTTAGGCTATGGGGGGGGGGCTGAGATATCCAACACGCTCCCCCATATCTAATAATCATGTAATACCAAACATCATATTGGGCATAATACGCTGGTCGCCGCCACTTACGCCAGCTCGGCGTCTGCTACCGATAAAACATCTCTTCCCGAGCGCCGCCGCCACCTTCCCTGCGCTTCTTCAATCGCTTTCGGACCATTTTGCTGGTGGGGGTGGAGCAGCAGCAGCAGCTGTCTGCGTCTGCCGCTCCTCAGTGCAAACAGCTGAAGCATTAGATGAGCATAAAACATACGCCGGGGAACTCTGCCTTAGCGGAGGTCTCGCTATGTTGGAGAGTATGTGTGTGTGTGTGTGTGTGTGTGTGTGTGTGTGTGTGTGTGTGTGTGTGTGTGTGGTGTGTGTGTGTGTGTGTGTGTGTGTGTGTGTGTGTGTGCGCGTGCGTGTGTGTGGGTGTGTGTGTGTGTGTGTGTGTGTGTGTGTGTGTGTGTGTGTGTGTGTGTGTGTGTGTGTGTGTGTGTGTGTGTGTGTGTGTGTGTGTGAGACAGTAGGGGGTGGGGAGGGGAGTCCCCGCTGCCTGAGCCGTCACTAGGCTCCGCCCCGCGCACGCAACAAGCCAGCCCATTGGGTGCGAGGGTGGGCGTGTGGGTGGGAGGCGGGGAGTGGGTGGGGCGGGCGGCACATGGCAGGAGTGGCGTGCGGTGGCTGGGGGAAAACGTGGAGTGTGCTGAGCCCGGCCCTCGTGCTGCTAGGCTCACGTTACTAGGGGGTGTATTCCGGTGTATTGTGGCGCGCGCCTGCTGCTGCTGCTGCTGCTGCCGCCGCTGACTCACGTGTTGCGTCAGGACGCACGACGCGCTCCCGGTGCGGTCGTACGCTCGCTTCCTGCTTCACATGGGCGTCGGCTGAATGATGCCCTGCGACCCCCTGATGAAGCCAAAACTAGGCTTCTCCATCGAATCTCTGGTGGGCGGCAAGATAGGCTCAGAGGGCCGCGGGTCGCCGCCGCTCGCCGACACCTGCAGCGACCGCGGCCTGTCGCCGCCCATTTCCATGCCGCCCTCGTCGCTCTCCCCAGGCCCGCCCGCCTTCAGCGACCTCAGGGCGCCGCTGGCTATGAGGGCGCTCTTCGACGACAACAAACCGCTCCCCATTCAGCGCCCGCAACCCATTAACGGCGCCGCCCACCGGGCGTCGCAGGAGGTGAATCTGCCGCCCTCGCTGCTCGCGGCAGCTAAACTGCCCACGGGACTACATCCGGCTCTCCTGCCGCACCACCTCAATCTGGCCCTACCGCAGCTGCAGGGGCTTCACGGGGGCTTCCCGCCGCAGCTTAACCCACTGATGATGGGTGCCGGCGCCCCCGGCCTGGCCGCCCACCTGCCCCGGGAGTACCCGCTCTACCCGTGGCTACTGTCGCGGCATGGCCGTGTCTTCCCTCACGGACTCCCCAGTGAGTACCCCAGCCTGCCCTTGTACCCCTAGTGAGTACCCCAGTGTGCAATTGTACCCCTAATGAGTACCCCAGCCTGCCCTTGTACCTCCAGTGAGTTCCCCAGTGTGCATTTGTACCTCCCCCAGTATATATTTTAGCCTGCTCGTGTAACCCCTGTGAATACGCCAGGGTGTACTTGTACCCCCTAGTGAGTACCCTATCCTGCCCTTGTATCCCAGTAAGTACTCCACCAGCCTGGCATTGTACTCCATCAGACTGTCATTGTTTTCCACCAGCCTGTCTTGTACTCCACCAGCCTGTCATTGTACTCCATCAGACTGTCATTGTTTTCCACCAGCCTGTCTTGTACTCCACCAGCCTGTCATTGTACTCCACCAGACTGGCATTGTACTCCACCAGACTGTCATTGTACTCCACCAGCCTGTCATTGTACTCCACCAGCCTGTCATTGTACTCCACCAGCCTGTCATTGTACTCCACCAGCTTGTCATTGTACTCCATATATGTACATATACATATCAAGTATATATACGTGTACATATACACATCATGTGTATATATATATATATGTACATATCATGTTCTATTTATCTTGTCTATCCTGCACCTTGAACTGGGAGTCCTCTCTACTTGAGTTTTTAGACCGTCTATTAAATTCCCTTGGCATCTACACTCTCTCTCTCTATCTACCTCTCCACATCTACCTTCAATCTACCCTCCGTCTAGACCCACTATGGACAGTGACATACCTAACCTCTTGAGCCTAGCCCTTGCCATCTTCACCTCAAGATCCACTATCATCTAGCCCTATCCACGCGGCCAGCACAAGTCTCCACCCCCAGTCCTTTTCTCGTGCTCAATAAATGCTCCTTTTCTATCCTCTTGCTCAATACACGCTCATACACTATTCGTATGCTCGATAACCGACCCTCCTGTATCCCTCGTGGTTCAAGTTCAAGTATGTTTATTGAGATAAGAATGAACTACATCTCAAAGGGATAGAGTAGCTTAGGCTATTTCTAACCCCCCTTCCCTCGTGGTCAATATACGCTCCAGTCCTATCTCTGGTGGTCACTACAGGCTCATATACTCTATCCTCATTCTCAATAATGTAGCGGTCCACGGTCTAGCCCTATCCCTCTCGGTGGGTGATGTGTCCATATCAAAGCCATTGAATAATTTGTCCCTTTCCTCATCCCTACAATTCCCCCATCCCCTATCCCCCCCGGGAGCACGAACCACCACCACCCCATGCCTTGTGTCAACACTTATTATTGCTACCCCCTCCCCCCCAACCACTCCCACCTCCTCTCTCTTCCCCCTCTTCCTTCTCCACCTCTCCTCTCGGTCTCTATCCCCTCTCTCCCCCTCCCCGCGGGCCTTTCCATAACATCAAGCAGGAAAGCATTCTAAATTAATGGAAGGGGGAATGAGGAGTGTGCTAAATGGCACGAGGAACTGGGTAAAAATGTAAACATTCCCATTGGAATGAGGAGGGAAAGATATCTACTAAATCTCTATATAACACAAGCGGTAGTGATTTGTAATAAGCTTTGATTTTGTTCATTAATTATGCCCAACTGTATTCGTCTCGTGGGGGGTATAGTGGGCTCCTATACCCATCCCATGGGCGGTATATGGGGATCCCATACTCATCCCGTGGCCGGTAGTGGGCCCCCATACCCATCCCATGGGTGGTATATGGGGTCCCATACTCATCCCATGGCCGGTAGTGGGCCCCCATACCCATCCTATGGGTGGTAGTGGAAAAGGTTACAGAGGTACAAATATAATGGGCTCAGGAACTTAATCCTAAAATTCATATATAAAATAAACATAATAAAATAAACATTTTAAGCTAAGCAAGTAGCAAACTCGTGAAGTTAGTTCCACCACTAAATGTCCACACGTGAATATTCTTATATAGCGGAGATGGTTCAAGAAATGGACCTGCTGCGCCACAGGTGGTCTCTCAATTAGAGAAGTAATTACTTCTAATTACAGAAGAAATTGTCTTTATATAATGTGTATTTGTGTTTGGTTCGCGTTTAAGAGGATTTGTAAATATCTAGAATGTTTCTAGCTACTAAAAAAAAAACTACACATGTTCCAACACATGATGCTCACGAGGGTGTACATATGTGTCACGCAGGTATAAAGGTGCGATGCCCCCCCCCCCCACCATTACCCCTCTACAGGTGTGTGTTTGACAGATGTGTTCCGTCGGGATTTTTTTTGTTATAACGACAAGCTGAATGGTAACCGTAAAATGGTTTGCAGGTGATAAATAAAGTACTCACTTCACGCAGCTGTAGTGGTCTCGTGTGGACGCAATACGAGTTATATATCAGAGAAGAAATAAAATGTCCTCGACCGCTAATTCCGCCTGGATTGTAACCCATGCTGGTTTAGATTGAAACAATACTGGCTTTAGAGTATAACCACACTGGCTTTAGAGTATAACCACACTGCTTTAGATTACAACCACACTGGCTTTACATTACAACCACACTGGCCTATAGTTCGTAACCACAATGCTTTAGTCCTTTATCATATTGAGATTCTCGTGAAAATTCAGATTTCTGGATGTAATCACAGAAATCACAGAATTCAGAAATTCTGTGATTTCCCCATCACAGTGTACCTGAAACTAATAACATCAACGCATGTGATGAAAAATGTCTTCATAAAATGTAGCGATAATTCTCTCTGAAAACATGTAGTTTGTAGTGGAAATAATAGTAGGTCGTTCCCTGCCAGCTTGACCCTGGCAAGAGAACGACAAAACCTCCAAATGCATCTTATACCAGCAGCAACCCCTGTAGTTGGTTTTAGTATGATAGATATTAACCCCTGTATCTGTGTTTAACATGATAGACATTAACCCCTATAGATGGGTATAGGATGACAGACACATTGAAAAGGAACAAAAATAGAGCATTCAGAACCTTTTAAATGGAATTGAAATTAAAATCCTTTTTATCTTACAAGTATCCAGTCTAAATTTTCATTTAGACTGGATACAAGTAAGAATTTGTTTGGCAATTAATTTGTGGAGGGAGGAAACATAACATTTACCTGTTAAGGCGAATACCTTGTCAACTTTTAAGAATACAATGGAGTGACATGCGCCATTAAATAACTCAAGGTTAAGGGTTGTCGATTATTAATACCCCCCTCAGAATATGTTTGCAGCAGGACGGTGGGATCGAACTATAGTGTTCTGGGTCAGTCCGGACGCACGCCGTACCCCATGCACCACTACATGCTTAAAAACTGCACGTCTACTGTGTTTTTCATTGCACATTAGTATCCCCCTGTAGCTCAGTCTGATCACATGAGACAGTTTTGACTAAGCTAGTTCCAATTCTGGCTGGGGGGGGGGGGTAACTATAGCAACCAGAACGGGGTTGTATGTCGTATGCCATACGACATACAACTCTGGAGGACTTCTTTCTCTGTGGTGTATGCACACACACACACATTCAGGATGAGTGACGCTACCCAGTATACTCATCCACTGCAGCAACATTTAAAAACCCGTGGTAGAAATTAGTTGGGTCAAAATGGGACCTAAGTTCGTGTGGGCCTAATGAGCCTACTGCAGTGCTCTTGCATGTTTTGTAGCATCCACTAATCAGGGATTGGCAGTAGGCCGTCTCAAGACTTTACACTCGCTAACCAGCAGTCAGTACGGTAAAAGCGGCAGGTAATGGAGGTGAACAGGCGGCTCTCTGTTCTGTGGCACCTCGTTACTGAGAGACTGTTCGACCTCGTAACAGAGAGTAAAAGAAAAGCTTTACGCCAGTAACAATTGATGTGCATATTGGAGGAACATCTCACCAATGGTAGGGCCTACTTCAGGAGCGATGGACACCCCTACGCGGGTAGTCGTGAGTGTAGTCGTGATGGCCACAACAATGGTATATCTGTAGACAGGGATGCTGGGGTTGTTGCGGTACAGATGACGATGATCTTGGGGGGGGGGGGTAGATATAATGATGATTCTGGCGGAGATGAGAACAGTAGGGGATGTTGGTAGTGCAGATAATGGTAGTTCTGGAGGAGATGACGACAGTTAGGATGCTGGTGGTATGGACGTTCGATGTCACCGGCGAAAAACTGCGTTACTGCAGTGTTTGGCAATGTTTGAGAAGTATATATATATATAACTGAAAACTCACACCCCAAAAGTGACTCGAACCCATACTGCCAGAAGCAATGCAACTGATGTACAGGATCCCTTAACCACTCGACCAACACGACCGGACAAAAGAGGATGGTAGCCGAGGCTAATTCCCCATCCCCCCGCCGGCACTCTGTTGGTAATCTTGGGCATGGTATTTTATCAAATTACCTCATTCTTTGGGGCACACGTGAGGAACACAAATGCGAACAAGCCTGAACGGTCTCCAGGCATATATGCAACTTATATGTCTGGAGACCGTTCAGGCTTGTTCGCATATATATATATATATATATATATATATATATATAATATATATATATATATATATATATATATATATATATATATATATATATGGCTATGTATATTTAAATCGATCACGGATACGTGTTTTATTTTTAATTACGCTTAGATTTTTTTTGGATACATTCATGAAGGAAAATTTGACTTGATCAAAACAAGGAAATGAGCGTAAGCCTGTCAAACAACGGCTTACAGCGCTGAGTGGTTTTCAATACAATTTCATTCCTTTTAGTATTTTTTTGTTCATATATGAAACTCGAATATTACGTTATTCGGAAACAAACAAGAATTATTGCCGTGTAATGAAATTTAAACAATTACCGCCTAGCTTTCAAACAACAACAGTAACTAACAAACAAACTTGTCCTTACAAACAATAAGAAACAATTATGACCCGGCTCACAAACAACAACAATTACCCCCCCTCCCCTTTCCTCCCCCTTGGCTTACTAACAATAGCAATGACCGGTAATTGTAATTAATTTTTTTTTTGCAAAACAAAATACAATCTCGATTGCATTTTTTTTGTCACTAAGTTAAATATCTGTGTATAACAATCATCCATTTTGTGGTACCAAGATTTGTTAATTAACTTGGAATTTAATGTGAAAGGTTTTGTGTATAAACACATATATAGACAATACCGTAGTTAAAAAGGACACATGACCATAAGAAATATGGTCATGTATTACTAAACATTGACATTGAAATAAACATTGAAACAGAGAGACAGTGAAATAAAGAGAGCGAGATAGTCAGACAGTGAGATAAAATATAAACAGGAAGATAGACAGCGAAGCAGAAATGGTACAGAGACATAGACAGCTAGACAAACACAATATACAAGATATTGTGAAGAGACAATACAATGTCTTTCATAGTGTATGGGATCTGCAAACCAGAAGAAGTCAAAACTCCTCACCACACAAACCCAGGACCTCATCAGCATCTTTCTTAACATCCCAATGAGATGAGATGCTGTCTCGGAATCTGTGTGTGTGTGTGTGTGTGTGTGTGTGTGTGTGTGTGTGTGTGTGTGTGTGTGTGTGTGTGTGTGTGTGTGTGTGTGTGTGTGTGTGTGTGTGTTTGTGTGTCCACTACCTACACATAACGCGTGACACCCATGCATCTTAAAAGGGATCCACCGGGCAATGAAGACTGTCTTGAAAATGTTATTTGGTTCTATTCAACTCAAAATCTTTATTTGTGAACAGTTGTACATATATATAATCAAGTTAATTTGCATCAAATGTCTCAGTAAATGATTTACAAGAGGGAAAATCCTAATAATAACATAATAGGTATCAATATTATGTACTAAATAATATAGATTTAGATTTAAGAGCTGAAAGACTTTTATAATATCCTTTTAAAGCAACATCAGCTTAAGCCGATTTATATTTATGTACTCGAATGTTTGTTTAAGTAATAATTTTTGATTCGTGAATCTATGCATATTAGGAATAATTAATTTTCTTCGCCGTTCTGTTTATAGTTCCCGTTGTTAAGATTGTGATTCACGCAATAATGTAAAGAATCTATAATCAATTATTATTGTCATATTAGGAAAATATTGTGTAGCGAGTGTCAGAAGTGATATATGACCTGATCAGAGTAAGTTAGTGAAAATGTAATCAATTAAATATTGGTAATATTATCTATAAAATCGTAATTTAAATTATATCGAAATTATGTAAATAGAAAGGGGTATATAGTAGAGGATATCACCTCTGGTGCAATTGTAGGGATCCATAGCCTCGGAGAAGAGAATAAAGAGTATTCAGAGAAGACCTTGTGGATTCTTACTGAACACTTTAATATTGTCTTTCCTACCACCCTAACTTTTTTCTTATGGTAGAATATATATATATATATATATATATATATATATTATATATATATATATATATATATATATATATATATATATATATATATATATATATACATATATATATATATATATATATGTATTATGAAGCTCTAATAGAGTAAGGTCCCCCAGGACGGGGGCTCAGCGCTCTGTTCTTATGATCTTCTCACGAAAAGCTGTCGTTACGAACCTTCTGTCTTCTTCAGGGGGGCAGGTACACCCGAAGAAGGAGGGTACACCATGTCCAAACCTCACATTATAACATGAAGAAACAACGACGCTTCGGTCCGTCCTGGACCATTACGTAACACGACGTGATAATGGTTCAGGACGGACCGAAACATCGTCGTTTCTCACAGTTTCTGATGAGTGTTTTGGTCGTTATATGTTCAGCCATGTTATTGTGACATTGCTTGCCTACACACACACACACACACACACACACACACACACACACACACACACACACACACACACACACACACACACACACACACACAGTTTCAAATGGTCATTCAAATATGATAGAGCCCAGTAGGCTCAGGAATCTGTACACAAGTTGATTGATAGTTGAGAGGCGGGACCAAAGAGCCAAAGCTCAACCCCTGCAAGCACAATTAGCTGAGTATACACACACACACGCACACACACACATTGATTGCCAGAAAGCCTTTGACACAGTGCCACACCAGAGACTAGTGCGAAAGCTGGAGATGCAGGCAGGAGTGAAAGGGAAGGCATTCCATTGGATAAGGAATCTGTACACCAGTTGATTGACAGTTGAGAGGTGGAACCAAAGACCCCGAGCTCAACCCCCCCCCCCCCCCTCCAGCAAGCACAACTAGGTGAGTACAACTAGGTGAATACACAGCCTAACTAGCCTCACATACAGCGTTAAATCTGGACGTTTCACGAACACCTTCATACAGATTGTATAATCAATCAGAGGGATTGAATAATCAAATTGTTGATTATACAATCCCTAGATATCCGCCCCCTCACTAAACCCCTTTCTCCCCCCACAGAGACGGTATATATTACTTATAACAATGTGACTGGGTCCGTCTTCTGTGGGACCTGAAGACTTCACGGAGCGAAGTGATGGTTGGTTCCTCCCATCTGTTTCCTGGTTATTTCATGAGAATATTCTCCCTACCAGACATATTTAATAATGCTACCAATATATAAATGAATATAGTATTAGCCCGAAATTGATAATAAGAGCATTGCAATCCATATTATTGCATGGATTGTTGTGCCATTGCTCGCTAGACCAATCGTTTGGTCTTGTTTGATAAGTGTTATAAGACCACCACTCGCTAGAACAGACATACACTGTTATACAGTCTGAGAGACCCTTCAGACAATTCAATTTCTTTATTATAATTTATTATACTTTATTATTTCTTTATTATACACCCACATACCCATCCCGTGGGCGGTGGTGTAAAGGATTACAGAGGCACATAATCGGTTCAGGAACTGAACCCTCTAGTTCGTTTAGTTAAGCAAATAACAATCTTTTGGCGCTAGTTACACAATTATTAATGTTATATGTTCATTTACACATACTCATACATATATGTATAAATATATATTTACATATACATATATACATACACATACATATTTAATCACCTACACAAATACACCTACACACCTACATAAATAATATTTTGTATCACACGTGATTCAACAATAGGCTCAGAACAGTCACTATACAAGGCACTTTACATCTATTGTGAGTCACACAGTTACTAGTCTTACTGCACACCCACCCAACTGGGCGGCAGCTTTACAGTCATGTGCACGGATTGGCAGAATTGCAGGACATTAGGACACGAGGTTCTCTCTTTGCTGGACACCTGGCTCTAAATAATGAAGCATAACAAATTCCGTGTTATGCTATACCCGAAACGAAACGCTTTGCGTAATAGTGGCTTTAGGCATTGTATGTACTAGCTCTATCTATAAAGCCAACAAACTTTGTAAAATCTCTTTATGTATGTACCTTTGCCTAAATAAAAATTATTATTATTATTATTATTATTATTATAACTTACACATCAGGAAGTCAAGAAACGACAACGGTTCGATCCGTCCTGGACCATTATCAAGCCAGCCATTATCTCGCATTTAGTTTTAATGTGATATAACAGCATCTTCAATGAAGTCTTTGCAACGTATGTTGTATTGGTGTTCTTGTACTAGAGGGCTTGTGATTTGCCACTTCGTCTCTCGCACTTGGAAGATTTAAGCCAGTCTTCTCTGTGTGTGTGTGGAAGATCAAGCGAGCGACATCATAGTATGATATTATATAGTCCATTTCATGTTAAATTCAAAGGACATATTACAACTTGTTTAAGATGTGCTGGATTCAAGTCTGTTTGAATCTAAGAGTACCTTTTTCCTATCGTTTTATTCGACCGTTGCCTGCCTTTTTCTGTCACACTTAAATTTAGTATATTACCTGAGAGGTAATATACTAAACTTTACATATTTGTCCTTTTTTTTGGTGGCTATCTTGGATAAGTGGCGTCATAAAAACCATACCACACCATTTTAAGGTAAACAACCAGTATGTCTCCATACCATATAAGAAAGGGATCCCACACACTCGCATACCTTCCTTACTGTGTTAAATGTCTCCATGACCATGTCAGTAATGACTCTTTTTACAAGAAACTATCATCACTAGCAACGGACAAAATGCCCAAATAATGTTGGGCAGAGATACACACAAAAAAAATAAACTGAATAACAACTGAGAGAGAAAGATTGCACGCGCCAGATGTGTTGGGAATTATATAGGAGTCTAACTTGAAGAGTCGTTAATTGACGTGAAGAGTATTTGAGGTGTGATTAATAAGGATTCCAGCACTACCCCTTTATTCTTCTCCCTATCCTCTCTCGTCCTTCCCTCTCCACCCTCTCTCTCAATCTTTCCCCCCTCTTT